CAACCATAGCGTTAAGTTTCTCACGCTTGGGACAATCCTTCACTCTATAGGGTCCATCACAGATGAAACATCCTTTGTTAGATTTCCCACCATTGTTCTGAGAAGAGTCCCCTTTCTGCTTGTACTTGGAACCATCTTTACCCTTATTGAAACCACACTTCTTCTCTCCAGTCTTCTCTTTTCCTTTTTTCTTAGATTTGCTGGTTTCACACGTGGGTTCCTTGCTTAACTTGTAGTCAAGCAACCCATCTGCCGCAGCCATGGCAGAAGGTAAATCTTTGGCATCGAGTTTTTGAAGTTCCAACTGGGCCCAATTCTGTAACCCAAACATAAAGTTGAAAATTTTTTCTTCCTCAGACATGTTCTTGATGTCAAGCATCAACGAACTGAATTCTTTCACATATTCCCTCACTGATCCGGAATTCTTCAACCGTTTCAAGACATCTCTTGCAACCCAAGATGTGTTGCAAGGAAGAAATTGTTCTTTCATTTCTTTCTTAAGAGTCTCCCATGTTAAGATCTCTGGTCGAGCATCATCCCCAACACGTGTACGCCACCAAAGTTTAGGTACATGCTTGTGATGGTAACTTTCTCCCCTTCTTGCACATGAGCAGCCTTAAAGTACTGCTCCATGTCCCACAAAAAATTCTCAAGTTCCTTGGCACTCCGATTACCACCGAAAGACTTAGGGTCAGGAACTTTGATTATCGAAGGAGTCTCACCATAATTCGTATGCCCATAGACTGCCTTCTTAACAAGGGTGAGTTCGTCAGTAACCTCCTGCAATTTGTCCTTCCAAGCATCCGAAATGGCAAGTATATCAGTTATCACATCCTTGAACCGATCTGCTGTCGAGGTCTCAAGGGCAAGAACCCCAGAAGCCATAGCATCCAATCGATCCGTTAGCGAGCGATTCTCATCAGTAGGTTCACCCATGAGATTCTCCTACCGTGTCACTCTTTTCTTCAAGGCATCTATGCCAGACACCATTAGGGCTTAACCTGGCTTTGATACTAATTGTTACAGGGTCAATTTTCGAATTAAAATTTTTAGCCTGCAATGGCACTAAGTTACAGCACTTAGTCTCAGCCAATTATCAATACACACTCACACAATGACTTAGAACAAGTAAGAGAGAAGGCAACACGAAATTACAGAAAATTCCCAACATTTATTATTGCACCAACAATACAAAGGATATCTATGGAAACTCTTACAATTACTTGATACCATTTTGAGTTCCATGGCCATGCCTTATATAGGCTTACAATAAGTTACAACAATACAACCAACAATACGGAGCATGCCAAGTGGCATGGCAGTTTACACCCCCAACTGCCTAGGGACTTAAGAACAAATCTGGAGCTAACTGCTAATAATTGCTTCTGTCTTCCAGCCGTGGTTCCTAATTTCCAGGCTTGCCTTGTCTTTGCCCTAACAAAAGTAATTGTTGCCAATAGACATGCATAACTGCTGATAACTGCCATGTTTTCTGTCTCATCAAGCCAGCCACGAATTTGGTTGTCTTGGCCACCAGACCAAGTCTTGCCCACTGATTGTCTTCAACCCTTCAGTATGTTGCAGCCCACATTCAGGTTATACGAATGCCTTGCATCTGTGCAAATGCTACCCATACTTTGGCCAAGGGTTGTGTGCTGCTGCCTTAGCACTTTGTCATCTTTTCACCTCGTTGTCTTGGCATGCCACCATCATGCTGTGGCCTTGGTTGGACATGGGTGCAAGGTGTTGCCAATGCCAACCATGCAGCCTTCAAGTAGAAGGTGCTAATAGCAAGCCACTTCCTTTATTTATATGGTTGTAAGCCATCGAGGTTAGGGGGTCATTGATTGAGATAAAATTCAGAGAATGTTTATGAATTTGAAATTCTTCTGGTTTTTCCTTGGGTTTTCATTCATTCCATATGCTTCCCTATGTCACAACTCCACAGGCTTATCACCACCACCTGTTGCAATTACACCAACAAACCTCCCTTAACCGGTTCATTGCCCAACCTCTATGGCCACTATCTCCATTGACAACACCATGGTCAATCTAAGTCCAAGCCCATTGCTATTTGCTAACTACCCTCTTCTAGTTTCAACAATATAGTATAGATCTAATTTCTCTTCATTTTCACCATCTTGATTATAGCATAACAATACAATGATACAACCATCTATACAAAACAAAAATCCAAATAAATTCAAAGAAAAATAAATCATTGGTGCCAACATTGCTCCCTCCTCCCTCCCCTCCATTTCAATAGTGCCACCTTTCCATACCCTTATATCTATCTATGAACCCAAGCAGCCCACCAAATCATCACCCATTCACTACCTTTCATCACCACCAATGATACCATTGATGACTTCGTTTCTCTATTTGCTAACCTAATCGACCAACTCGGAATATGGGTTGTTGTTCATTGCTTTGTACTTAAAGCAATGTTCTGTGTTCTAATAATTCATGAAAGAGATTATCATATTCCCTGCCATACCCATCACTGATCGTCAATCAGTTCCATTGTAGTTTAGATCGCAATAATAGGGAGACAGAGGGAGGTTTGGGTATTGTGGACCTTGGTAAGTTTTGGTCACTGGGCCCTTGATCCAATGCAGGTTTCGAGGCGCCCCCTAGCATTTTGGTAATTTTATTGTTGTTTCCATGTTGCTCTGATTTTTATACTTACATAGATGAGAGGCACGTCTTGTATTGTGTGAGAGAGTTGTAACTGTTGTCAGATCATAGTGAAACTGCAACGACCTTTGACGTAGGTGAACCATGTAAACCCTTGTATTCTTGCGTGTATGTGTGATTGTTTTGATACATATTATCTTTGTTGTTTGCTATTTTGTGTCTCATTGATCCTGGCTAGGGGTTGTCAAAATCCTAACAAGTAGTGGCGGAGGGCTATGACAGTGTTAGGATGACGGTGGGGGATTTGATCATTTGCATTACAAAGTGCGAGAACTGGGTGTGGCGACTGCGGGGAAATGACTGCCTATTTGGGGGATCTGTAATTTCTCAAACACGAGGGGAATTCTGTATTTGTTTGATAACTCAAGGTTATATTTGTAATTTCCCCTACTTATATTACTAAAAAACCCTATATTCTATTGAAGATGATGAAGTATATACTGACGGTCTTTACTATTCTCAGTATCTGAGTTGGGGTTGGATGCAAGAGAACTTGAATGTTGTTATTCCTAAGTTGTATGCATTGGCATTTGCTTCAAGTTGTTTAGATACAGAACATACCAAGAATGTTGCCCTGGATATTTCCATTTTTTCTTTCCTTGGTGTCATGCAGCATGGATTGGTCTTTGTCAAGGGTAGGTGATTCATGGATTGATTAAGAGAAATTTCAAATACCAAGTGTTTATATTGGAAAGCTATTATTACGTTTAGTGGAGAATGGTTCATGTAATTGAAACTTCATGTATTTGTGTCATTGAAACTCTTCCTTTTATGTATGATCTTTGAGGTTTATGCCTGTCATCCGGATATGTTTCTCATGACATTACTATTTAAAAAATAGTTTTGATATGATATTTTTTTTGTTCATTTTAATTTTTTATCAGGTTCTACACTTCAGAGGTGTTGTTGGCATCATGAATATTTTTTTGATGAAATATTTTTTTTGTTCTCTCTGGGTCGCTTGCTATCGGCGAAATCTGTAAGCTTCTCTAGCCCTTTCTAATGCTCTTTGAATTTGATCAATTCTGCAATACTCTCTCGATCATAATACCAGAATTCATTCATCATTTTTATTTTCCTGTATAATAGGATTCTTGATTCATGTACAGATTACAATATACTCATTAATTTGCTTTTATTTAATGCTTCTTCTTCTTCTTCTTCCCCTTCTTATTCTTATTCTTTTCGTCTTAATTCCCTCCATTCTGCGTTGCTTTAATGCTACTAAATTCATAAATTGAAATCTCTGTAGTTTAAAATCACTCTTATACTAGAAGAATTCTGGATCATGTGAATGATCGTAGCGTGGTATTTGCAAGCAGTATAAATGCTATGTTTTTGGTGTCAATCATCACTGCAATGTCTGATGAACCCTCATTTGAAGATCAGAGTGTTTAAGCATGATAACTTGGTTTACCAAAACAAAAAGTGAAAAGGAAAAAAAAAAAAAGTATTTGTTCAACGCAAACCTAGGTTTAAAATTGCATAATCTTACTGGGTTTTCAGTAATATAAAAAAAAAAATGCTGGGTTTTTTAGGGTTTTATTTTTTGGTCTGGTCATGCTCATCTACTTTGAACTTTTAACATGATATTTTACCTCAACTGTGCGCAAAACTCATCAAAGAATACTGGATTATGAGTTTATTAATTATTAAATTGTTATTTTAAACTTGGGGGAATTTAATGCGAGAATAATGTAGAAAGATTGCAGAAAACTTGGCTTAAGATTTTATACAATCTTTTGCTTGAGATTTTGCATTTATTTGTTTGTTATGTATTGAATATCTTATGGATTTGTATAACAGAAATTAGTATTGGGAAAATCAATTGAAACTGGAGAATGCTGTTTATGCTTCAAAAGTTGCTTAAGGAATAGGGTTTTGCCCAGTGCATGACGCTTGATTTGAGTGACTTTACCAAGATGGGGACCATACACCGCAGGTTTGTACTGATATTTTCATATATTTGTCTGGTTAACTTGTGCAAGACGCTTCAAGGGCCAGAATGCAGGACCAATTCTTTGAAATCACCTTGATTAGTTTTCTTGTTTTGGTTGCAGTGGAGCCTTCAAAAAATCAAATGACACTATCAGACTTGTAATTACAACTTTAACTGGAATGATCTTTGGATATTTTATTGGAATTTTTTTTCCTTCTGTTTCCCTTAATAAGGTATGTTGGCTCATTCTGTCAATGACCCTATGTTGCATGAGGCACCTATTATCCATTTGATTCATTGCGATTGCATTCATGCAGATTAATTTACATTCAAGCATTGTATCATCTCTTGACGTAGCCTTTAACAATGATCATTCTAGATCCATTAGTAACCACATACCTGAAACTCGTGTTTCCACTGACAAAGCACCACCTAAGGTACCTTTTCCTTGGTTATTTAATTCTTCTACGCTTTCTTAACATGTGTCATTCTGAGGTCAACTATCGCTTAAAGGGCTAGTGATTCCTTGCTTGTTTGTCTTCTTACATGAGATGATGTTATTGTTCAAGAAAAATATAAACCAGTGATTTAGTAACACCCTCAGAAATTGATGCCAGAGACCTATTGATCAATGAAAGTGATTTGCTGCCAAAAATAAAAAATAAAAAATAAAAAATAAAAAATAATTATGTCCCTTCCCTTGTGTCTCTAAATTATGTTTCTCTGGAACAATTGCATGACAAATGTCAACAGAACAATGCTAGAGGTTACGGGTACACTGCAGCTTCATAGAAATGTCCATGCTTCTTAGTTTGATAGCTTGGCTTTAATTATGTCATTTTCTGCAGTCTTGTGTTATAGCTTATCTGGAAATACTAAATCAACAGGCTTTTCCCATATCTTTTCTCAGTTGCTACAACAGCAAAATGTGTTCCCAGAGTTCATGTTCAATTTTTATTTAGGCTGATAACCTGTTCATGTTTGGTTTTCCTCCCAGATATATGTTCCAACAAATCCTCGAGGTGCAGAATCCTTACCTCCAGCAATTGTAGTCTCTCAGTCTGATTTTTATTTACGAAGATTATGGGGTGAACCCAGTGAGGTATGTTGTTCAACACAAATGACTGTGTTATGGTGCTGGAGCTTGCAATTATTTACCTATTTTAGATGGTGGAATTGGTTTTAATCATTGTAAAGTTTTTAATTTCTTGTTAACTCTCCAACTCAACTATGACCATATATGATTTTGGAAGTCCTAATAGAGCAGACATTGTTGTTTAGTGAGTAAAAATTAAAAAAAATAAAAAATTCATCACATATCTAAGACCATGGCATATTCTACTTAGTAATTCTTTAACTAAAGTTTTCTCATCTTTGAAATGTTCTTGTCAAAGGCTTAATGGGTATTACTCTTATCATTGTTTTCTGAAATTGTGTGGAACCTGTTTGCGAAACTGTATTTTTCAGGTTTTGGTTATTTTTTAATGTGTGATGCTTAGATTTGTTAAGATTGGTACGGCTGGGTTGGCTGCTTGTGGATTTAATTGGCTTATCATTGTTGGTGACAAGCAAGTGAGAAACTCTCACATCATAAAATACTAAAAATTGGAATAAGGGCAAAAAGAAACCGTATCATACTATGAAATTTCCATTGATTTGGCATGTGTGTAACTACTCTCATAACTCCAGTTATCTTATGGAGAACATTCTGTAACTTTCAGGATTTGACAATGAAGCCGAAATACTTGGTAACATTCACAGTTGGTTTGGATCAGAGGAACAACATTGATGCAGCAGTTAAAAAGGTTACACAAATGGACCATTTCATTATTTGTATTATTTTTATGGTGTTGCAAGTAGAGATTTGTAATCTTATTTTATTTTTTGATAGTTTTCTGAGGATTTTCAAATTATGCTTTTTCATTATGATGGCTGGACAAGCGAATGGGATCAATTTGAGTGGTCAAAGAGGGCCATCCATGTCAGTGTAAGAAAGCAAACAAAATGGTAAGATGCTTTAGTATTTTACATATTTTTGGTGTTATACCACATATTCCACTATACCATGTTTGAAAAGAGAACTCATAAAACAGAGACATGATACCCTTTCTTTATTGGGAAAGGAAATAAAGACTGATTTGTTTTTCATTAATATTGCATCCTTTCGTAGATTCAAATGACCATTATAAGATTTGCTACCAGTTGTGTTTCTGCTGATGTGCAATTTTTGTGGCTTCTTTCTGCATATAAAATTTTAAATTTTTTTGCAGGTGGTATGCAAAGAGGTTTTTGCATCCTGATATTATTGCAGTTTATGAGTATATTTTCATCTGGGATGAAGATCTGGGAGTTGAACACTTTAATGGTGACAAGTAAGTTTTCCTTGATTCTCTTTTTTAGTTAAGCAGTCAAATCCAAAATTTACATGCCCTTTTCGTCTGCAGTTTACCAGGTACATTCAACTGGTTAAGAAACATGGTTTGGATATTTCTCAACCAGGTCTTGAGCCCAATAACGGACTAACATGGTGTAGACGTCCCCGAACGCCCCGGGAGGGTTAGTCCTGTTCTGTTCGTTTGGGGTCACTACAGCTCGGACTCTCAAATGTCACGGTTCTTTAATCTGAACCAAAGAGTCCAAATCCGGCAAATCGTTTTGAGAAAACAGATTTTTAGAAAAGAAATGCCAAACATGGACTGTTTGGCCAGATACAGAGTCGCCACCTAAATATTTTATTTTGAAAAATTTAGGAAACCCTGACTCGTTGCCTAAGGCCACGTGTCCGTCATCACCAAAGTTGCCTCGGCTCGGGAACTTGGGTACGATTGGGGAAGGTCACTTCGTGAACACCCCCGCTCCACCGACCAAAGATCGGCCTCTAATAACCATCATATCTATTTTTGAAAACATTGCGTGTTCTTATTCCGGTTATTAGCCTAGATTTACTATGTGATGCGCACAGCATACAAGTATAGACTGGGTCGCCTGAATTGGAACAAAACATTTCATGTTTGTTTGAAAGATGGTTTGCTACTCGCAAGTAGGCTTAAAATGCAGATTTTGCCACCCTTAGGTGGGCTTAGAAAAAGATGGTTTTGCCACTATCTAGTGGGCTTAAAACTCACAGTTGATGATTTGTTCCAATCCAAGTAACCCAACCTTCACCCACAGGCATTCAGGCAGTTATATCACATAAGCATATAGCCTCATGGTAAGCATGCTATTCATGGCAGTCACTCACACGCATGCAAGGATGCTAAAGCATAAAAACTTACCGAGTACTCCAAGCCAAAACAGAAGCTAGGTTAGAAATCCATGCATGATCCTAACTATACAGAAATGCCTAATGCAACACATGCAAGATGCAACTATAGCAGGCTTGGCTATTCTAAACATGGCATATGAAATGCTACAACTAACATGTATTCAACTTGGAATTGGAAATACAATGTAGTTAGTATGATGCGCTGAGCCCGGTGCATGCAAAACAGATGAATGAATGCAAACATGCTATCATACTGTATGCTAATTGAAACATGCCCTAATCTAACCATCATAAGCAGGTAAATAAAAGGGAGGAAGACGTGGGGTTGGAAGACATACATCACACACACGCACACTTATTACAGTTATGCCCTCACGCAGAGGGTCCGAATAAATAAGTACAGTCCCGAATGAATAATACAGTCTGAATAAATAATACAGTCCAAATATGTACAAAAATCCTAATTAATTACCAAATTAACTAAGAAAACAATAAACTGGCATGCAAGCCAGGGACTGCCTTGACTCTTCTTCAGATGATGAATGATGCACATCCGGGTTGCCTTCGCACGGAAATCTACGGCGATGCCCCAATTAGCCTCTGTTTTGCAATAATTTTTTGGAAAGCGCGCCAAGCCCCGGAAGACTACTGATTCTTGATTTGCTGCAACAGAGAGCAGAAAAGGGGCATAGCAATGTATTTTCACAAATGTATGCATGCCTCGATCCTCGTGCCACCAATCACGCATCTCGATGCATGATGGCCGAGGAGTCGAATTGCACAACTCAATATGGAATAAATGCACATGAAAACACAATGAGACCTAAACTCCATCATGGGTAATCCGGAGTGTCGGTGATTGGGAATTGAGACACGTTACGTCACTCGGAGTACGAAACATCCCTCGTTTCCCGTGCTCGGGCTAACTCCTATCCCAAGCACGATGCAATATGCATGAGATGCATGAATGCAACTAAGATACAACCTAACATGCACAATGCTATGAAATGGCATACACGATGCACGAGGTAACATGGCATACACAATGCGCTAACATACAACCTAGCATACGTAATGCTATGAAATGAAATGGCATACACAATGCATAATGGACTTACACCAACATGAGTGGACCTCGGCCACACTCACATGAGAGGCCATTAGATTAAAATGAGACACTCGAGATGCGTGCACACGTGCACGCAAATCGAGGACCGACCCTAAGGCACCAAATGCCACTCTAACAAGACATGGCAAGGCGTGGAATATGGCATACAAGCATGCTAATTTCAGCGCTGAAATACGATGCAAAACAGCCCCGAATCATGGAAACATGGCACCCGATGCATGAAATGAGACCCGAAATGCAAAACTAGGCATACGCAATGACCTATAGCTATATAAAGCATGCATTATTTGATCATGAAGCATGAAGACAGATTCAAGGCAGTCCCAAAAAAAGCATGTTTACAGTTTTAATCAAGGCCAAAAAATGAATACAAATAGGGCTAAACCAATATGGAAAAATGACCCTAAATGTGAGATAAAGAAGCAAGTAGCAGCTGCTGGCTCTAAATGGCCAAGAGCCCTTCAACAAAGTTGAAGAGGAGCTCAAAATGAAGCACTTCACAGTTTACAACAAGCCACAGATCTAAACACAAACGGGCCTAAAACATTGTGCAAGAAATGAGCCAAAAAGGAGATAAAGAAGCAAGTGATGGTTTCTGGTCTCAAACATAGGAGGGTTCTTCAACAAAGTTGAAGAGAGGCCCGAAACATGGTATTTTTCGGTTGGTGGCCAGACCCAAAACAGTGTACATGCAAGCTTAAAATAGTATGCAAAATAAGGCCTAAAAAGAGGTTTAAACACAAAGAGCAAAAAGGGAACTTCAAACAGAAAAAGTCCCTT